CGGAAAAAGGTGAAGCTGGGAGAAGTAAAGGACGGTGAAATTTACAAAACTTTGACTTGCATGAGAGAAATGATGGAGGGCATGAAGGAGGAAAGGCTGAAGCTTCAAGTCATGTTGGCCAAAGGAAAAAATAGTAAGAGGAAGGGGAAAGAGCCGGCGGAAGAAGAAAGTGACAGTGAGAGCGAGGAAGAAAAGGAGCCGCCTCGCAAGTTGACAAAGGCGGAGAGGAAGGTATTGAATCAAATTCAAGGCGGACAGGGGACTTCCCGTAAACAGGGGAAGAATGGTGGACAAAATAATCAAGGAGGGAGTGGCAATGCTGGCACTGGTTCGTCAGGACAAAGTTTCCAAGATCAAGGGCAGTTTCAGCCGCAGGGTGGAAGAGGCCGCGGTCGAGGCCGTGAAAACGGACAGCGAAGCCGTTGGGCGTGGCAGCAGAAAGCCACGTGTAACTATTGCACCGAAAAGGGCCATATTATTCGATTTTGCCAACTCCTTTCAAAAGATGAGAAGGAAGGGATTGTCTTCACCACTATACGTGGTGAAATCTTTGATTACGAAGGGAATTCGATCGACCCCAACATTGAAGGGGGTATGAGGAAGGAGGCGTATCGCCGAATGGGTCGTCCGCTACCGGCAACATTCTAGGTTGCTTCTCCTGAAGAAGCACGGTTGGCCAAGGTCGAGGAGGTCATGGCGTCATTGCATATCTACGACTCACTGGTGGAGCCAGAAGGATTCAGGGAACAAGTAGTGGAACGAGTGCAAACCATCACTAGGCGGCTTGCCCGATGCCGGGACTCTATCATCCGACTTTATGTGGACATGGAGGAAGTCTGGTCTGGATTGCCGAATGTCTTTCTCTTTGGCGAATGGGGTGATAAAAGAGAAGATACGTCTCGCCAAGCACGGCCATTGGCTCCGAGAGAAACATCACAAACTGGGCCAATGGTAAGCACGATGCGACCTAGGCCTATGCTAAAGAGGAGTGCCCCGACTGTAGCCGTTCAGACTCGGGTGCGGCGACGAAACGAACAGCTTCAAAAGGAGAAAGAGTCTGAAAAGGCATTGGAAGAAGAGTCTATTTCCATTACTGAGAATGAAGAGGACAATGAGGACGAGAAGTTGCGGGTCGAAGAGGAAGAACGGGCTCGTCGTCGTGCACTGGAAAGGGAGTCGGAGAAAGGGAAGGCCGAAGTAAGCGAGGAGGAGCCACGAAAGAAGAAGAATATTTATTTGATCCCCGTGGAGCAGGGGGGCGATATCGAGCAACTTGTTAATAAGATTCTGGAAAGTCAGCGCGACTTGGTCACGCTGAAGGAAATTTTGGAGGTATCGCCGAAAATTCGAGAAGAGCTTAAACAGCGGATGACTCGTAAGAGAGTCATGACTGTTAAGCTCGGCGAAGTCATTCCGTCGGAGGCTAACTGGTCCCCGCCTGGGACAAAGATGGATTGGCGAAGTGTGTCGACCGACCATATGAAGGTCCAGATTGGACGGCATGAGTACTTGGCACTTGTGGATGATGGAGCCGAGATGAACATCATTCGTGAGCGTCATGCCATCGAAGCTGGGTTGAAGATCAACCGAGATGACTATGGGTTTTTTGTGGGAGCTAGCAGATCAACTCCATTCTGCGGAACAGCCAGTGGCGTTCTCGTAGTGGTCGAAAAAGTTAAGGTCCGTTCTTACTTCTATGTGTTACCTAAAGTGGAACACGAGGTGCTGCTCGGAAGGGCATTCTTATGTCGGTCGGAAAGCATCATCGTTAACAAGCATGATGGAACCATGTTTGTAATTCTTTGCGATCCTATCTGCGATTATTACGAAGTGGTCAAGTGTGCGAATACTGGACCCTATTGCTCGCGGAACCGGCTGAACCCGGAATCCTATAGCTTTCCAGAGTCAGAAAAGTTGAGAGGGGAGAAGGAATCGCTAGGGGAGGAGTCGAATCCTCGTGAGTTCTCGCTGACCCTGTATGATATTGGGCAGGCAATCGATTTCGTATCGACACATGTGGCGATCGATCCGAATGTGGTGCAAGCCTTGACGGAGATCATCACGGACACCGGAAGCACAGGGACTATGCGCCTTGTTTACTCCCCGTCGGAAGGGAATAAGGGAGAAAGTCAGGAATTGCCCTCCACTCGACAGGGTCCTTTTTTAGAGGACGCAGGCTTGACACCGACACCAAACGTAAGTACAAGAAAGTAGGCGTGACGGCGAAGCCGATGCCTGTTCTGATCACTCAAAAGGAGGAAGTCTATTATCGTGAGGAGCGCGAGTGGATCAGAGAAATGAAAAAGAGAGGTGAAAAGGGGCCATGTCGGTTAACCAAAGAAAGAGTGGAAAGTATGATCATTGGGGAGGAGGACCTCCTTACTGAGCAGGAAAAGGGATACATCATCGATATATTGAGGGAGGAACATCTCTTCTATGCGTTTGATGATGATGAGCGAGGAAGGCTGGATGTCGATAAAATCCCGATGATCAGAGTTCATACTGTACTACATGAGCCATGGAATGTAAGAGGACCACGTTATCCGAACCCGGAGGATCACCGTAAGGTGGTCGCATACCTCAATGGAAAGATCCGGACAAAGGTTGCAGATTATTCTTACGGGCCGTATGCATCTCCATGGTTCTGTTTCATCAAACCGAATGGTACTCTGCGATGGATTCAGGACCTCCAGAAGCTGAATTCGGTAACAATGCGAGGTGCAGGAGGATTTCCGCATGCAGACCTACTGTCAGAATCTTGTGCAGGAAGGTCTATCATTACCCTCATCGATTTATATTCTGGGTATGATCAATTCCCGATTTACACTGCGGATCGGCCCAAGATGGCGATGCATACTCCTCGCGGGTTGATCCATATGTGTGTGGCACCACAGGGGTGGACAAATGTCGTTGTCATTGTTCAGAGATATATGACAAGGGTTATGCAGCCTTATTGTCCTAACATAACTTCGCCGTATATTGACGACTTGGCTATTCCAGGATCTTGTACGAAGGACCTGACGGAGGTGTTGCCGGGCATTCGCCGCTTCGTTTGGGAGCACATCAATGATGTGGTGAAAATTCTTAAGAGGTTGAAGGAGTTTAATCTCACGGCTAGTGGGATTAAGTCTCGACATTGTATGAAGAGAGCAGTGATTTTGGGATTCCTTTGCGATGCGAAAGGTCGCCGGCCGTATGCAAAGAAGACTAATAAAATCTTAGAATAGCCGACCCCCTTCAAGTCGATCACAGATGTGCGAAGCTTCCTTGGAACCTGTGGTTTTTTGCGCATCTTTATCCGCAGGTTTGCGGTCAGAATAGAGCACTTGCGAAAGCTTGTGCGCAAAGGCCAGAAGTGGGGATGGGGTCCGAAGCAGCAAGCAACCGTGGAAAAGATAAAGACTGAGTTTCGTGAGGGCGGATTGATCCTTGGAGTTCCTTTTTTTGACGATGATGAAAAGCGTCCTTTTGTTATTGAGACTGATGTGGGGCCCACAACCTTGGGAGGGGTCTTGATTCAGAAGGATGCTGAGGGGTAGGAAAGGCATTTCAAATTTGAGAGCATGACTCTGAATGTTGCTGAGAGGAACTATTCCCAGTTCAAAAAAGAAACTTTGGTCGTGCTTCACTGCTTCCACATCTTTCGGAATTATGTGTTCGGTAGACGCTTCATCCTGCGGGTGGATCCGACTGCATTGGCTCAATCCTTAAGGAATTATTCACCCGATGATCCCACCATTGCATGATGGTAAACTTATATTTGGATGTTTGACTTCAAGATTGAGCGGATTTCGGGGAGTCAAAATCGTGCTGATGGGCTGAGTCGGGTCGAATGGGACCCAGAGTCGGATCAGGCGGAAGAATCAGTTCCGGTCGATGCCTTTCTGAAGGAAGAGGAGTCGTGGTTGAGTATTAACTCCCTTACCTACCTGACTGATGCGGCTACTCGACGTGGGAGATCAATATGAAATGCTCCCACCTGTCACGAGGTACGTTCAGAGCTCGTGATGGAAGGACCTTTCATTGAGGAGGATCCATGGGGTGAGCAGACCGCAAAAGGAATGATGAGGTTGGCTTTGACCGATGACATCGACCTTATGCTTGATCCGCTAACGATTGAACAGGGTCATATGCAGGCTAATGACGCTTTCCAGACCGTTGGAAGGATGTCATATATCATGAACTTGTTGGTTCATGAGGAACGCCTGAGGTTAATGAATGCGTAGGAAGGGAGCAGTGAGGTCAAAAAAGCGTTTAAGGAAAAAGAGTACGAAGGGGAATATAAGAAAATAGGCATGTGGTTGAATAGGGAATTGGGCGAAAGTAAGGTTGATTCGGTTGTGCGGGAGATAAGCAAAGGATTCGTTGTTCGTGACGGTCATCTCTTTAAGAAAGTTGTTGATGGAGTCCCAAAGAGGGTGGTATGCGGAATCTCTCGACAGTTGGATGTGATTGCTTCTCTGCATGATGGGGTAGCCGGCGGACACAGATCTGCGCGGGTAACCTTGAACAAGATCCAACGTCTTTATTTTTGGGAAGGGATGAGCAAGATGGTGATTGACTTTTGTAAATCTTGTTTCCCTTGCCAGCAGAGGTCTAACATCCGCTGCCTCGAGCCCCCAAATCCACGTTATGTGGCAGAACCAGGTGCGGTGGTGCATTTGGATCTTTTGGTAATGCCACCTAGGATAAATGGATACAGATACATATTTGATGCACGGGACAATTTGACTGGGTTCGTTGATGGTCGTGCCATTCGCGAACGTACTGGATCAGTCTTGGCATAGTGCATTGAGGAATATTACCTCCGTTATTCATTTGTTCAAGAGATTGTTATGGATCGAGGAGGCGAGTTTCGAGCAAAGGAGGTGCAAACGCTTTTAAAGAGACTTGGGGTGAGTTTCAGTTATACGACGAGAGCGCATCCCCAGGCCAATGCACCCGTGGAACGAGGACATACCACCTTGTCTAACTTGTTGGCTAAATGGTGCAAGGGGGAACCATCAAGATGACCAATTTATTTGAGGGCAGCCTTTTTTGTTGAGAATGTTACCATCAAGCGAACAACCGGGTATGCTCCCGTCACATTATGGTTTGGACGACATGCGACTTTTCCGATTGAGAGTTTCCTGACCACTTGGCAGAAACAGGACGTGGAAACAAAACTCTCAACAGAAGAGTTGTTGGAATTGAGGGC